CTGCACACAGCATCCTGACACCCTAAACTCCAATGTTTAGCCTGACACCCTAAACTCCAATGTTTTGTGCAGACACTGCACAAGTGTCTGTGTGTTGTTAGACTACAATGCCTTGCATTTGCAGGTTTCAAACCCTGTTCTAGCTTTCATTTAAAAAGACGTGAGTGTATTCTGTGTGATCTTGGAGTCTAGCATCGCTCACAGAGCACAGCTCCACTGGTGCTGGGCCTGCAGATGGTCACCACAAACTGTGTGGGAAGGGATGGGCAAAGAGAAGTCCTGGGTGCTGGTGTTTGCAGCTCCGCCACAGTATCTCGTGGTTGGGCAGCAAAGGGGAGCTGGACGTGTCTGGGTGCAGACTGCTCCTGGGCTCAGCCCTTGGTGCTGAGGGGAGGTATATGATGTGTCTTAGGAAGGGAGACGAGCCCCTTCCCATCAGTTGATGCGCTGGCTTCCAGGCCAACAGGGCCAGGTCTGATGGCAGCTGTTGCTAACAGATGCAAGGAAGCCAGGAGGACATGTTCAGTGCCACTGCTATGTCAGAGCACGGGTATGCTGTGCCTCCCTGGTTCCTCATGGGATTCAGGAAGCAAAGGGCATCTGGTCAACAGCCAGCTCCTCCAGGACTGTCCCCAGTCCCACTGGCCTGCAAACCCAGACCCTGAGTCTCCCAGGCAGAGATGATAAGGTAGCTGTATTCTCCACCAGCATCAGATCCCAAAGAACAAATTGCAACTATTAACATCTATTTGTTTTCTCCTCTTTAAAACAAAACGTAAGTGTGACTTACGTCGCTTGGTGCTGAGGTCAAACAGGGCATCTTCTAGATTGAAGTCATCTGTGTTGTCCCCATGACCTGGAGACAAAGAATCAGCACTGGGTATACTCACTCTGCACAAAGTAAACCACCTTTAAATAAGGCATGGCTAGACTCGTTTGCTCAAATCACTTTAGTTTTTTGCTGTTTTTATTTCCAAGCCTGACCCGCCATTGGTGATGAGTAAGACATCAACTCTCACCAAATGCTGTGACTGTTAAATTGCAGAGCAGTCATCTCTGGATTTTCCATTTGTCTGCCCTAATGGATGTGGTATAAAGACACATGCTATGCTTAAATTTGTCAAGGAGAGCCTACCAATTCATCTCTCGAGCTGCCACTCATCTGTGGCTGTGCTCACGATTATATGTTTGCTAAACACCATGAAAACATTGGGACAGCACAGACAAATTCAGTGAAAAACAAAAGAGCCCTATGCCCCTTTTCTTCTCAAGTGCCTTCCAACGTCAAAGGCTTTGTATGAAAATGCCGCTGCTGGCTGCCAAGCACAACTTAGCATTTTCAGAGGCTGCCTGCATCATTCTGCCTCAGAAATGCCAACCAGGACCAAATCCCCATCCCTGGGATATACCTGACAGGCACAGGTAGATGTTTTTGTTAGAGATGCCTCATCACAACTCCAGTCACTTCATAATATCCCAGGGATAACTCAGTGCTACATCGTGTTCTGCTGCGACAGGGCAGTTAATCCCTCCTTTCTCTGTCTTTTTTTTGCATGGCATTAATTACTGTTGACTTACCCTAGTTCTGAATGTATTTGTCTTGATAAATTCATGCTTTTACATCTTGGAGCATGCTGAGTAATTAATATCCTTTGGGTTTGCTAAGTACTGCAGCACTGCAAGAGAACATTAAAATGGCTTTCCTCTTATTCCTACTGCTAAATGGATTTAGCTATTGCCACCTGAGCTCCAGCATGCTTCATGAATAAATTTAAAGCTTTACTGACAAGGACAATAACAATGGGAAGGCACCAGTCCATCAGAAAGCAGGTATCAGCATTTTGGTGAAAAACTTCTACCCAGAGTGGTCACTAAGTACTGTAACAGCTGCAGCTCCGGTTCCACTTACTCACACATCACATCTCATCTCATTTGCCGTCTGTTAAACGTACGTTCAGCAAACCTGAGGGTGATGTACGTGCAGGGTCTGTGGCTGGGAAGTCACTACGGGCTTCACTCCCCTGGAAAAGGCTCAGCATTAGGCAGTGCTGGGGGTGTGTGTGTAAGTAATGAGTGTCTCAGCCCACACGGTGTTTCTCATCAAGCTGAAGGATGCCAGTGCTTCCCTGTGAGCCTGGAGGAATGGCAGGCAGCAGGCGATGCAGGGGAAATCCGTATGAAATCCTTGGAGAGAGGCATGTGGATGAGCCTCTTGCTCAGCAGAGCAGGGCAGCAGGACTGTGCCTGGCACCCTCAGCCTCCCTCCACGCCTCTCTGCTCCCTTCCCACAATATGTGCCTCCTGGGCCTTATTGCTGGCCAAATATTGACATTGTGAGGCAGGTGATGCTCTCCTGCTCTGCCAGCCTGAGTGAAGCCAGAGGGTTAACAAGTGGTCTGTGGGTGTAAAGGAGCAAAGTAAGGAACACACCAAGACCATCCACAGAACTGAAAAAACACCTGCCCAGCTGAGCCATCTACATCCCTGCTGTGGTCCAACACATTCATCACTGCTGTGGCCAACTGTCTCAAACTTGTCTGTCTGACAACTTCATACAGTCTCCCTTCCTGAGCATGGCATTTTCCCCAGTCTTTACTGGGTTTTCAGGAACTAACAGAGCTTTGTCATTCTCATCTTTCTATTTTAAACAGTGCTTAAAAATAGGTGGAAGGGGAAACCCACGGCATGTCTCTTGCGGGATGAGAAGCATTACAAACCCAACTGGGGGAAATGCACTGTCAACATGCAAGGTGACAGGAAGGATGTGGTGGCGGCACCAACTCACATTGGCATGCCAGGAGCCATCTCTTCCCTCTCCCTCGCTCCCTCTGCTCTCCGTGATTAAGTACATGTTAAGGCACTGACTGGCTGCACACTGAGTCCTGTGTTAGCACATCCTCCCTTCGAGGTAGGAGCCCAAATACAATGGAGGGAGTGGACAGCTACGGGGTGCATGCAGCTTGTCCGTTCTTCTGCTGAAAGGCTGTAGGGGTTGTGGGGCTGCACAGAGATGCTCTTCCAGTGGGGCCATAGGCTCTGCAGGGAATGCAAGTGCCCAAAGAAAATGGGCTCCACTGCCTGGCTTTGGGGGGCCCACCAGACACACCAGCTAAGTAACACACCTCCCTGGGTTTGGTGACAACTCTCCTTGGCATCTCTCCCTGCAGGACAAGAGGAGGGTGCCACTTCCTGAATCACTTTCTGAAGAGATAGCTGGCACACAACAGCATCTAGGTGGGAGAAAGTTGCTCAGGGCCCTCCATCCTCACAGGGATGATGTAAACAGCAACCTGGGTTGGAGCTGCATCCCAGGCGCATTCCCTCCACTGGTGGGAGAGGTGTCATTGCCGCCCATGTGAGGGTTGGGAAAACTGTCAATGCACTGAATTGCCCAGTAAAACCTTCCCAAGAAGCTGCAGTGCTTGGCACAGCCCATTTCCCATGGCTTTCCCACTGCTGCCCACTGCAAACCGACATCCTTTTCCAGGATTCCCCTAGGCATTGGCAAGGATTAATAATAGATTGCCAGTTAATTGAAGCTGACAACATCTCTATTTCATGCAAAGGGTGTTATAGAGACGTATTACACCTTTTATGGATCAATAACCAAGCACTACTGTCACAGGCATGCAAACTCCCCTGCTTGCTCTGACAGATAAGACTGGAACACTTTTCTTTTATTCAATTACTCAGTGGCAACAAACCTGGTACTTCACAGCCAGACACTGAAAAGCCCACTAGCTCTTGGCACACATATTTACCTTGCACATGCAGTTTTTTGGAAGGCAGCACTGCTGCTCCCTGCACTGTCCTGTGCAAATCCTTTTGCTCCTGGGGCCCTGGCAGTGCTCTGTGATCACTGGAGGAATGGCACTTTCAAAGCCACTCTGATGGGAACCCATGCACAGCACAGAGTACATTAAGGGTTTAAACTTCTTGGGAGAAGCTGGGGCATGTTGCTACACACCAGCACTCACAAGCTGCTGAGCAGCAGCAGAGTTTGTGTGTAATGGCCACGCAGCTGTCAGGTCATGCATGCTCCAACAGGCCAGTTCCACCACAGGACATCCCCATGCTGCCTACAACCTGTTACAACCCTAATACCACTGACAGGCAAAACCATCCTCTGCTAGTTGCTCGGTGCTGGGGAGCAGCATGGGATCCTCGCTGGGGTTGATGACTAAGCTAGTTTGGGGTTGTTTTTTAACCCCACCCTTACACTGCATCCTTGGAAGAACTCTGCTTTCCAGCTGCTGGGAGAAAATGCACATCCCCAGGGGCAGCTGGGGACAATTTGAACCCTGCATGCCACCAGACAAGGGCACTGGAGCACCTGTGGGACTGTAGGTCTATGACGGGGGGAAATGGGCAAATGAGACATTTCTTTAATCTGACAATCCAAAGAAGCCAAGCTGGGACATCTCATAGTACCCAATATGATTCCCTCAATGCCAGAGTGGGGAGGTGGGGGGACCCCAAGGCTGCAGTTGTGCCAGGCAGAAGCTGTAGAACAGAGGTGAGAATTAGGGCCAAGCCAGTTCTGCAGACCCCCCTGCCTCTCGCTGACTCCCCTCGCCTTGCCGGGGGTATTTTTAATCAGAGCGAGCTGCTCTTTGAAGGTAGAAGGGTTTTGTGCCTTAATGTATTCTCTCCTCATTATTTTCTCTAGCAGGCAGCTCAAACGCACAATTGTACTCGTCAGCTTTTTAGTTTTTACAATTATATATATATTCTAATTAAGCCCTACTGTTTGACAAAGCTTGAATTACAGTATCATAATTCACACCCAGTATATTGCCAGGCCGTCTGTGCACTCAGAGCGAGGTGTATTCCATTTTTAGTGCCAGCCCACGGATCTCTTTGTGCAATATATATGTGTTTAGCTTCCCTGGGAATTGAGAGCCTGCGACGGTACGAGATTGACAGCCCGGGAGATTACGGAAGAATGCAAAGCAGGTACAAGGGCAGCAGAAAGTAATTCCAACTGCCTGACTTTTATGCATCTACCTTAGGAGCAATGTGGCAGGCGGCAGAGCAGGAGGAAAGCAAAAAAGTGTGTGCAGAGGTAACCAAAAGGTCTCTCCATTGACCAAACTCACCTTTTAGGCTCCAGGTTACAATGTCAGTACATGTAGGTGGTTCCTTGATGCTGGGCACCCACAGCTGTGCTGGGAGCTCTGGGCAGGGCACTGGGGATGGAGGGGTTTGGGTGCAGGGCTGTATTACTGGGGCTGGACTGCATCCTCACAGTGGGGTTTCTGCTGTCTCAGCAAAGATACAGCCCCAAAAGGTCTATGGGGTGTAAGTGGCTGCTCTCCGTGGGCACAGGTCTGCCCTGCAGCAGCTGGGGTGCCTCCAAGCAGCACTGGAGGTCCCCAGGGACCTCTCCTGGCACAGGTGATGGCACGACGCCACCCGCTAGAGCAGTGATCCTGGTCAGCACAGAGCAGAGCTTCAGACTCTCCACCACTGCTGTCTGGGCGCCGGCCCCAGCCCCTGCCAAATGTGTGGGCAATGTACTTGCAAGTGCCAAGCTGTTTGCAAATCCCGAATTCTTACTGGCTGCTAAGGCCAAAGCACAGTTCTA